TTTGCTCCACTCCTCTGGACATTTTGCCCCTCCCCCCTACAGCTAACGGCTGTTATTACATCCAAAAGAGTTGGGCACCTCTCTTTGGCTTCTGTAAGAATTTTTCCCAGATGAAGTCTGTCATAGTCTCGAAGGACCTATCTCGTAGTACAGATGGTAGATGATCCCGTGTGTATTTCGCTGCATTCTCGCATTCTTCAAGGATTTCTTCCAAGTGTAATCGATGCAGGTAGTTCCTCACTTCTGGAATGAGCTAAGCAGATGAAGCGATTACACTTGGAAGCCACGAAGAAATAGCTACATTAAGTAGTTTGACGTTAATTGTCTCAACAAGTTTGCTGCTTGCCTCTTTTTTCAACTGAAAAAAATCGAAGCGAAACGTAAACACCATGCGGACCTCTTAGGAACAGCGTACTTACGAAAATCATAATTTCGTAACAGTTATCATAGTTATAGCAATGTAAATATCAACCAGTTCCAAAAATAATACTCCAGAAGCACTTCTCTGATATTTTTCTCAAACAAAAAGCAATGTTCAAATAGCTTTAAGAGTGGGTTCGCCGGGAGACACGCAAGATGAAATTTATACGTGAGCTGAACATAACAAATGTCTGGCAATTTACGCGGAATTTAGGAAGAACAGGTAGATTTTCCGTGGACAGTTTCTGACATTTTTTTACATATCTAACAGGCTAAATAATCTATTGGAAACTCTTTTAATAGGATGAGCTTAAGCAAATGTCTTTTTCTCTTTTTTTCCACACCACATTCGCCAGATATGCGTCAAATTTTCATGCCCACGAACAAACGCATGGATCGCGCGAAAGAAAGGAAATCCGTAAAACTTACCTCTGGGTTGTTCAATCCCGTAATGTAAATTACTTTCAAATCTTTCCTCCCCTCGTCTTCTCTTATCTGCTTTCTTTTTCACCAATCGAGGAAGTTTCCAGGCTAAATCACTTGCAGTCGTTGAAGGGGAACTTGACTTTTCTTTTTCATCATGGAATAACGCTTTCCTGGACGAATTTTGCGTATTAGGAAAACAATCGTCCTCCTGTACTCTCACTTTTGAAAAATGGCTTATCAAGCGCTGTAATTTTACGGTTTTTCCGTAAACCGAAAAAATCGTGAACTTCTGGTGGGTATTTGTTGTGTTACCACAAAGACGGCACAAGTTTTTGTCGAATGTTGTAAATTTCCCTGACTGCGCTATATTTGTAACAGAATTTATGCGGAAAACCGCGTAAATTCTCAAAGAGGGCATTGGACAGGAGTCAAATTGAGCAGCCAACCAAGAAAAAGAAATTTCCTTACTTGGCTAGATCTCGCCTTCGGCTTCACCCACAAGAGATCTGGGAACGAGATTAGGCTTTGATCAGCGGACCGCCTTCACGCGTGTGCAAGAGGAGATTTTAATTTGCGGGTAGAACACGCGCTCACCTTATCCACGAAGCTAATATCTCAAAAACTGATCCGGTGACCCTAATTTTTAATGCATAAAAATATTCAACAGCAAAAGCAGAATGCATGTGCGAAATTGTAAAAAAAAATGTGGGGTGGAATTTCTCCAACTTGAAATTCTCATTTTTTTTAATTTAAGAAAAATACGCTCCACAAAATTTTTTATGATTTTGCCTGTTTCCTCTTCAGCGCGTAACAAAAAGATTTCTATAAAAAAAAAATGGGGTCATCAGCTTAGTTTTTAAGATTCAATTGATGGTAAAAAGTGGGTCAAGTTTGTTGCTATGCGACAGGACAGTGCAACCTTAATTTATGACTTAAACACAATGAATGGGACAGTGGAGAGTTACCTTAAAAAACTAGCACAGCCATTTAAAACAGTACAGTTCCAAGCCTGCAAAATCGCACCTAGTTCTATAAGTCTCAAAAAATAACAGAAAACTGTTTTGAGCCACCTTAAGCACAGACAACCCAAAACTAACATAAAACCTAGCAGTTTATAATGTCCGGGCGTACGCACAATGTCTTCGACTCAGTTCTTGTGTCTGGGTTTAATTATACTACAATGACGTCATTTGTTCCTCAATCTCAGATTCGCCATCTTGGATTTCACTATTTTCTTGAAAAGTCAAGAAATAACGGAAATTAACACAAAATCGAGCCAGAATGCTTATGGAATGTAAATATTCAGGAATTTGAGCAGTTTGATGTAGGAAACTGGAATAACTCAAGCATCTTTATAAGGTACGGCTCTCTTGCGAGAGACAAATCATCGTTTTTTCTCGGAAACGAGTACGGGGACCCAACGATTTTTTTTTTATTTAGATCGAATGCAGCGATCACCTTGTTTCTATACAGTGAATGTAGACCAATTTCTATTGCCGAGTTAAAAACTATCGGTGAAAATGGGAACGTAGCTAGTGTTTGGAAAAGATCATATGTGCTCTCAAGAACACTGCGTGCCTGGAACATATTGAATGCCCGTCGGCTAAATATGGGTGCCTTTGAAACGCACATCAAATTGCTCCTTAACATTGATGCAATACACTCATTGATGTTTTTCTCACTTAACTTTCTCCCTTTTTTTCTGCTCTCACAAAGCGTTAAGTGAATGGTTCAAAATGTAAACGTTTCTGAAAGCAGATAATTTAAAGAATTATGGGGCTTATTGAAGGTCCTCCTGCTCCTAAACGAGTACCGGGACCCCCCTTTTTTAATTCAAAATTCAAGTTCTCTTGATATAAGCAGCCAACAGGTAAAGCTTGAAAGAAAATCTATTGTGCGTTCTATTTCGATGGAAATAAAGCTTATGTGAGAAAACGCTCTACTCTGATATCGAGTTAATTTGTGAGTTTCTCAAACAATGCTTAATCATAACCAAAACCTGTCTTTGATAGTTTGTTATTGTTTCTGTTTGTTTGCCGAGTTTGTGAAAGTTTTTGAAAGGAAAGTCAGACGCGTACAAGTAGCTAATTTGCATAATGCAGGGCGTGCACTTACAATTTCAATTGTCAACAAATCTTGACAACGATTTTTCCTTTCGTTATCTTTTGTGCTGAGATGCTTCAACATAGTGAAATTTTACACTGCGAAAATAAAATAGACAAGGAGCTTTGATATTCCAAACAACAAAATCGAAATCATTTTTCGAGTTGGTTAGAGAAAGCGTCATCGTAACTTTGCTGATTATTTCTGCTGTATTCACATATTTTCAGCTAAGCTTTTAATATGTTCTCGAACAAGTGATATTGTATCAGTTCGATGTATGTTTACGTTTTCACACGAAAGTGCGGAAGTCCAATTTGTCATGTTTACTGACTGTACAAAACACGCATCGGCGGGCGCTCTTATTCATCGACAACAGACAGTTTATTGGATATTTACACGAACAAATTTGAGCAGTATCTACAGACGTAAACTTATTGGGCCTTGATGAAAATCAAGGGTTGCTCACAATTAAGGCGAAAGTCAAACTTGGAAATTTTTTTTTTTTACTTTTCGGTCGCGATAGACTGGCGAAATCCCCGCAAGCGTGTGGCAAGAGGAGGGAGACCTTGAAGTCCTGAAACGCTGCTATATCTAAATATATCCAACTAGTTTTTTGCTGTGTTATGGAAAAGCTGTTAGATCTTCAACATGTGTGAAATGCAGAGTGGAGTAATGTGGAGCTTTTGTAAAAGAAGCAGCGGAACACAACTTGGTCAGCGACATAAAGCGGGACGTACCTAAATTCGACACTGTCTTACTTCACCGACTTCACTCAAATTTGAGCAGAATTCCAACAGACATAAACGTATTGAGTTTTGGGTCAAAAGCACTAAAAATTCGGGAATTTCGGACGCCTTTTCCACCGCGCTACTTCCGCAAAAATCCTCGCAGCATGAACGCGCGTGTGCCACATGGGATGGCGCAAGTTGTCCCAAAAATAGAAAAATTGTTCCGTATCGTAGGGACAGCCCCAAGACTAGAAATGGTGCGCGCTTACGGTCACCGTCCGCGATTATGGCTCCTGATAAGTGATAACAAGACAATTACCATAACGTTTCAATTCATATCCGTTATATGGCATCTCGCCACCCCGTTTAACGGGTCACGTGACCCAACTAATCAAAATCAAAAACCAAAAATGAGTTAAGGTTGTTATGTTTTATATTTTTGCCAAGTTTGAAGGTATTTTGGTAAATCACTGCAGAAAAGTTATGGCTGTTTTCAGATTTTATGCAAATTAGGTTGTGACCCACGCCTTAAAGGAGAAGGTCAATCCAAAAAACGTATATTTTTTGGCAACGCTGCTAAAAATCTTACACTAAGTTTAGCCACTCAGCGAAGTTTCAGCCCCTAAAGTGCAGGTTTTCCTTATGAAATTCGTCTCCAAAGAAGCCCAAAATTCGAACATCACTGCCGCCGCATTGAACAGTACTCAGCAGCCTGGCCGCGTTTTCGTGACGTCATTCCGTCCAAGAGATTTCCCAATAGCCTTTTAACTACCACTCTGGGTTATGGCTGCTCTTAAGCCATATTATTTTGAGCCAAACATGCTCCAAACTCCGAAATGATAACACTGAAGATAGTCAAGTGGTGAAGTGGATAATCGCCTGGAAAAAATAGACTTTGCAGACCTTATGAAGGATGCAAGTCAATATTGCAGGTTTTTCTCCTTCCCACCAATTTCGAGTCGGACGGAGTGATGTCACATAAATGGCGACCTCCGAAGTCGCTTCTTTCGAGACAAATTTCTTCAGGATAGTGGGCACTTCAGAGGCTGAAACTTCGGTAAGTGGAAAAACAAAAAAAGTTAGCTTTTTGGAGTGACCTTCTCCTTCAACATGCTTGAGAAGCAGAGAATTATGCCGAAAAAGAGGTTTTTTTTGGCAAACCAACTTTAAATTTGCGGTTGCCAGGGCAACGTCAAAAATCAATTTTTCCGGTGGATGAATGAACAGCTACTGAAAGTTTCAGCCGCTTAGAGTAAATCGTCTTTGCAAAACTTTGAAAAGACCTTATGGGGTGGCATCCACCCCCGCCTTGAACGTCCGAGGGTAACAAAATAGCCGGGGACATTTCACTATTTCTCTCTTGAAGGAAACACTATTAACGTGTAATCCACCTACTAGTATATAATTTACACAACAAAATAGGAAGACGAGACATCCCATTAAATCGGTTGTTAAGTGTACAGGCTTACCTACAATAATGCAGCATTGGTATCTTAGTACGTTTGTAGCGACCAAACTTTACTGAACTTTGTTTTCCTATTCTACGGTGGATGAGATCGTGCGATCGACAAACCTGAAATAGAATTAGGATTCGAAGAGATCAGGTCAGGCCTTGTTTCGCGTTGAAGTATGCTATGCTTAGAGAGTTTTAACGTTCACATAACGACCGTGGAGGTTAATTTGTATACTTCGTATACTACTTTAAAGAGAGCGGCTGCACACAGACTATTCTAGAGCAGCTAGAATACACTGCAAATGATAGCTGACGCAGCCTTCGGCCTCAACAACTATCGTCTCAAAGAAATCTCGAGCTTTTAATCTAACTGTTAATTAGGTAGGGGGGGGGGTAAGTTTCTAAAAACATTATGGCGCTGCATCGGTGGGGAGTATAACAAGATAATTTGGTTTTACCAACTGGGTTGATAATGTGAATTGGCCACCGTAAAGAGATTCTATTGAAGGCAACGGTTTATGCACCAGTGTGCACTACAAACCCACAGATTCTCATGGTTATTTGTTGTATTCATCTTCACATCCTACACATGTCAAGAATTCCATTCCTTATTCTCAGTTTCTTAGACTTCGTCGTCTTTGTACTGATGGCTCTGATTTTTCCTTAAAATCAGAGGAAATGTGCAATTTCTTCGAAAAACGTGGCTATCCTGCTTCTGTTGTTCAAGCGGGCCATCATCGCGCCCAACAAATTGATCGACAGTCAGCACTACAAACGTCACAGAAGGAAAATAATGATAGAATTCCATTCACCTTCACAACCACGCAGTAAAATTCATCATTCTCAGAAACTTTAAATGACTTCAAAATGATCCCGATACTGGTAGAATCTTTTCGCAGCCTCCATTAATTTCATTCAAACGCGAAAAAAACATAGGTAACTTTTTAGTCCGAAGTGCATTCTAAACAAGTGATCAACGCGGAACTTTTAAATGCGCACGCGCACGATGCAAAACATGTTCTTTCATTCGCAACGTTGAGAAAATATCGGGACCCAAGCGATTCATCAAGATCACCGATCATTTCACCTGTACCTCACCCAATGTCATCTACTGCATAACTTGCACTCTTTGCAAAAAGTTCTGAATCGGCGAAACAGGGAGACGACAAGGTGACCGATTCCGAGAACACCTTCGTGACGTAGAGAAAGACGACAAAAACGCATCTAAACCGGTCGCGAGACACTTTAATCTCCCCAATCATTCTAAGCAACATGTGGCAGTCTGCGGCCTTTCCCTACATCAAAGAAGTACGGAAAGCCGCAAAACTCTTGAACAAAAATTTATTTTTCAAACCGGCACTCTTAATCCTCACGGTGTCAACGAACGCTTTTTTATTCAACTAATTTATTCTGTTGTTTTTCACGTTAGCATGCACCAACCAATAGCGTAGCTCCATCTTTCTGTATATAAACCACACACAACCCACAATTCCTCGATTCGCTCCGACGAAGGGCTAACGCTCGAAACGTCAGCTTTCGAATCTCTTTACGGTGGCCAATCCACGTTATCAACCCAGTTGATAAAGCCAAATTATCTTGTTAAATATATACATGTCTACACATATACAAGGGGCTCTCATGGAATAATTGATTGCGTCGTTTACTATAGGAACATTACAGCTTGAAAAGAAACTCTAATCTACAACTATATTTTCGGAGCTGACATCTTACTTCGGCTTTGTCGTTAAATTCTTACACTTCCTACTTAGCTGGACTTACCGCTACATCATTATCAGACTGACAATCACTTGCTGGCCCTGAAGTTCCTAACGTGAAGGAGATGCATGGATTGAAGCTGTACTCATATCCGCACTCCGGCTTGTCTGGTTGATCTGATGCCTTAAATCTGTTGGCGAGATAACAGCAGTTGCTCACAAGGGCAAAAACTGCCAGATTTTATGGATGTTGAACTTATTAGCCAATAGCCAACTTTGCTTTGTTCCAAACACTTATGAAATGTGTTTTACCACGGTCGAAAGTTAAATAAAAGCTTGGAATTATTGTCAAACCAGTAAAAGTCCGAAATTTCTGACAATTCTCCGTTTACTGGTCTAAATCGATCTAAATCCGACTGTGATACTGTGAACGTCATGCTAAGTTCCAGACCCATTGCGTTGTGTATTCCCGGCCACACATTCGTTGTGAATGCAACTTAGTGGTTTATTCTCGAGACTTAGCAATTTGATTGTCAAAGCTGTTTCAAAAAAGGCCGCTTTGCAAAATCGTAAAAACACACGCAATAATACCGAAAATTATACGGCTAGTGCATTGTAGTTTACTGCTGGCGCATGAAAGTTGACGATGTTTCAGGACTATTGAAGTAAAATCAAGAGAAGATCAAGATATTCTCCTGGTAAAACTCATGAATGCCTGTGCTCTTGCTTTCAAATTCGTTTGCGCTGAAACACTGCGAGCTTCGATCAAACAACGGTGGACTAGCATTTCCCATAATACCTTTCGGCATCGTCGCGTACGCTTCATCGCTTCTGCTGGACAACCTTTCTCGAAACAGCTGTTTTTATATATCAGAGAAGAAATTGTTGTTTGCCATAACGCGTTTTGTGGGTCATATTAAAGTTGCACTGAGGCTGTGAAATTTCTCAACTACGTTTTCCCTTTAAGGTGGCTTACTACAGTTTTTTGGAGACTAGTAGCGCGCGCTATGATTGCTTGCCAGATGTCAGTATTAATCGCGCGTGCACAAATGACGCAAGCAACCCTAAGAAGAAACGAAAACCACTTCAGCACTTGAAAGGCGTTAAATCACTTCANTTTTTACAGTAACTGTCTAATTTCTCGCGCGCTGATTGGCTCATTTTTATCATCAATAAGAGTACAGACGAATGAATTTTTAATTTATGCAGGCTTTCAAGTTCGACTTTCAGCTGTGAAACCGTCAACTTTTTAGCCAAAGAAATTTTATGGCCTTTTTGAGTAGCCAATCAAAGAGCGAGAAAAGCTATTGACATTGTTCGCGTCATTTTGAATAAAATTCATTTATCTTTTTTTACGGCAAGTTTAGGGCGTCTTTTCCCCTCATTTATTCCTTGTATTTGACCACTTTGGGGTCTTGTTATTGTAAAAAACAAACTGACGTCAAATTATTAACTTGCTTTCTCGCACACGATACATGGCGTCACATGAGCGCGCGCTTAAATAAAGGGCATGCACAGTTCAATTCTCTTCAAAGGTTGTAAAAGCCAGTCTTTGATTGAGGATTGCTCGAAAACCTACCGTACAACCCATGATGAAATTTTCACAGTCGATTTGTAGGGGTGATTCACGTTTAGAGCCAAAATTTTAAAAAATCTGTAAGACAGATTTTGAGCTATTTTTGATTTCACATTTTCTTAGTTCGCGAAAAATCTGTCTTACAGATTTTTATTTTACTTTGCATGAATGTTGAATCAGAGCCAATTTCTTATTCCTGAAGTGGGGTAATACGGGTAGATTTTGAGAAAAACGTGATTTAACCTACAAGTGCCCAGTCTCTCCTTAGGTACTCGGTTGTTCATTTTGGCCATTTGTTGACGTTTAATTGTTCAAGTTTCACATAGACTGGTAAAAGACATAAGTAAACAGTAAATAGAGAAAGGAAAAACATCTCTGAACATTTTTCAAAAGAGTAAGAATTTGGGCTGTTATAATCCATCAAAACTGTAGTAAGACACCTCAAATACTAGAAAAAGAACCAAGACTACGTGTGGATGTGTGTGGTCTTCTCTACGATAGACGACTTCTATATTGCTTTGCAAACCTTGGTGTTCCATTATCATTTCTTATCGTCGTCAGATCGTACTTATGTCCTTTATCATCTTGGTAAATACACTCTTTGGGGTGTGGCATTGTCTGGATGCAGTCATCTCCTTGGCATTTCGTTGAAGCGTACAGTACCACAATGTAGAGGTAACATCTCACCCAGACGCTCATGATATTGTTGCAGCTACTATAGAAATAAAAAAAGACTTGACTTAAGCAAGTGTATTCTCCAATGAAATACTCTCACCAAAACAGCCGTAGCAACATCTATATCTTCATGTGTAAAGGCGGTAAAAATCTTAAGACATCACACCGCCTGTAGAAAAAAAACAACCGATGGGTAAAAATAACTATTTAAAATAAGGCATCTAAAAATCTAAAATCTAAAATAAAATAGACAAAATAACATTGCTTAAGAAACGATGCCAAAACCTCCTCATTCGCATATGGGATTCTGAGCTTAAACTGATGGCTCCTTCTTATGCACTGAACAGCACGTGCGAATCAGTAGTTTCAGTAATAGTAATAAACTTTTTCTCCAGTGCTAACATTTTTGACCTATTTTTTTTTAACTTCGAAACTAGCTTGGCACATTCTGGCGAGAAGTCCGGAGGGTTCGTAAAATTTACTAAAAACGAAAACTGAACTATAAAACAAAATTGTCAAGCCTTGATACAAATTCTAACAACATAGAGGCATGAAGAGAAGGGCATTTCCTCTTTCAAATTGTGCGGGAACATTTGCGAGATTTCTAAGAGGTTTCACAATATTTTTACTGACTCTAACACACGAAAACATCACTATATGACAGTGCGACAACTTCAACCCGGCCACTGGGCAGAAAACCGACAAATAAAAACTTTAATTGAGCACAAAGGATAGCAATCTCTAAGGTAAACAGCCCAATTACATTAAAAGGCAATAGTTTTAGAACAAAATTTAAAACCAAGTGAAGGCGAATAAAGATGTCATTCATTTTAATTGTATACTATCGACTCTGCACATTCTCTACAGATCTCATTCCTGACGGCGCACCATCATGTAATTGTTAATCTCCTCGAAAAAATTAGCTTCAAAGCTTGCTTTGTCATGACTGCCAAACTAAAACTGATGAGAAAATCTGCCCACGGGGTTCATAGCCAGTTTTAATTATACATAAACAATAGCCTCCATTTCACGCGAAAATATGACAGGATATTTGTCCGCGGACATTATCTGTTCCGAGATGCGAACAGTTTTCCGAGAGCGTAGCTCGAAGAAAACTGTGAGCTTCGACGTGACGTGACGTGACGTGACGTGACGTGACGAGTTTAGACCAATCGCACGTGAGCGAAAATATTTGGTGGATTATAGGTCGTGTTATTCCCATTATCAGGTACTAACCGTAAACAGCGTTATTATTCAGGCTAATCGCAGTGGAAGTCTACACTCCGGTTCCGGTTAGCCTGAATATCACTCAGGTTAGCCAACAGTAAATAACGCTCCAGTTAGCCTGATGATGATGGAACTGGTAACACGATTCAGTAAAAACAGTAAAAAGTCTACAGCCTGCACTCTGCATTTTACCCCCCAGTGGTCTGCGGTCTGAATTTTATGCCCGGTCTGCAGTCTGCAGTCCGCAGTCTGCGATTTCTTTTTCACCGAGCTGATGGTGGTTAACACAGTGACTAGTCAAAATCTAATTCTTGGAAAGTGCTGGAACACGTTGTTAACTACCTCAAAAGAATAGCTTCTTGCTTACTTCAGATATTAAAGACGGTGGCTACTAAATACAAAGGTTTTTGCGCCAGGTTAGGACCTTGCGGAAAAAGTAGATCTTTGCAAGGGCTATCGGAATCCACAAAGAAAAAAGAGGGTAGCCACGCAGTTTTTCGAGATAATTAGCCTTGAATTTCAACAAAAATGCTGACATCAGCATTTTTCTGAAAATAGAAGGAGAAGATATTTCTTCACAGCTTTCTTTAGAATTCACCTTTACATACAGAAGAGCAGACACATTTATAAAGATCGGAAAACTACATGGTAAATGTAACATAAAAACCATTTTTGGTATGTTTTTAAGGACAAAATCGTTGCAACAGCACTTTTACCTGCTGAATAGGCTTGCCACTTCCATTTCATAACATAAAATATAGGGGTAACCACGCGTTTTTTAAAGTTATTGATCCTTTTTTAAACTTTTTACGGTGCCTGTTACATTTTTTCCTGTCACCTCCCCAGTAAGTAAAACATTTGCGTACCTCGCACTCGTTTTGCGCGCGCACTACGCCATCTGCAGGTACATGTTCACAGTTGGATTTCAGTATAATTTTCGACAGATAACAGCTAATTTTTCAGCTGGAAGACGTTAACAGTTAGTGATTAGCGATAT